TGTCCACCAGGTTTCTCGTACGCACGCAACCCAGGTCATGTGGGCCGGGAGAGGGAGTTGCAGTGATTTTTAGGAAGTCACTAGCTTGCATCAGGTGTCCTACTGGGAAGACTCAGTTCTCTGAATGCATGTTCTGGAAGTTGGGCAATAGGGGCAGTACAGGATTCCTTTTGGTGTATTGGATGTTCTCCTGGAAACACCTAGTTTGGTTGTCCTACCTAGGGGATTTTAACATCCATGCCGACACGACCTTAACAAGGGGCCGCTCGGGACTTCATGGAAAACATGGCTTCAATGGGGCTGTCACTGAATAAGTTTGGCCCAACTCATAGTCACGGACATGCCTTAGACCTGGTGTTCACCTCTATTGACATGGGTGATCTGACACTAAGTAAAAGCGAAACTAAAGAAGTGCCATGGTCAGATCACTTCCTAGTGCAACTGGACTTCTCCTCAACCCTTCCCCTCTGCAGGGAGGTGGGACCAATTCGGATGCCCCCCCCCCGCGCCACTTAACGGATCCAAATGGTTTCCAGAGAGTGGTAGGGGATGCTTTATCTCATGTTGATAGCCTTCCAGATGATTCCTTGGTGGCCTGCTGGAATGCGGAGTTAACCAGGGCTATTGACTGTCTGGCTCTGAAATGCCCTCTCTGATTGCATTAATCCCGGACAGCCCTGTGGTTTTCCCGGGAGCTGAGGGCGATGAAACAATCACTGAGACGGCTGGAGCGCCAGTGGTGGAAAACCCATTTTGAATCTGACCGGGTTAGAGCTCAACATTGAGCCTACCAAGTGGCGATAGTAACGGCGAAGAGGACTTTCTTCACCGCCTCTATCGTATCTGCAGAAAATAGCAGCAGGAGACTCTTTCAGGTGGTTCGCAATTTAACGGAACCACTTTTGCCACTGGGGCCTGGTAAAGACCCCAATATCTTTTGCAATGATTTTGCAAAGTTTTTTTTGCAGATAAAACGCTCACATTTGGAAAGAGGTAGACTCCACCATGGGAGCAGGGCCAGGGCGGGAGAGTGCTAGAGTCCTGTCTAGCCTTGTTACATGGGATCAATTCCAATCTGTTACCTCCGAGGATGTGGACAGGCTGCTTGGACAAGTGAAACCGACCACCTCTCTCCTTGATCCTTGCCCATCCTGGCTGATAAAAGCGAGCCAGGAAGGGCTGGGCGATGGGCCAGATTGTGTCAAAGGTATCTTTTTTGGAGATAACTTTGATTAGACACTAATGGCATGTGAGGCATTATGACAGAGTAATGGTCCAGATGTTATTGATCCAAACCTCTATTGTTATTTTAGAGATTTCCTTCCATCATGGGCTGTGAACAGAAAGGAAATTAATTCTTTAGTTTGAAGCATAGAATATGGGGTCAAATATGGTTATAATAAGCTAAGTGCTGAATTAGGACAGATAGACTGTTTAGAGATTTTGGAGGTCAGATAAAAAGCTCTTCCCCAGAAGACATGGACCATGGTACACCCCCACCAAACGTGAAAGTAGGAATCTGAGACCTTCTGCATGCAAAGAAACTGCTCTACCACTGAGCTGCACCCCCCCCACGAAAATATAGCAAAGTCTAAGTTTCTCCATCAGCTCCCTCTTTTTTTAAAAAAGGTACCCATTGTAATGACACTGGACCACCATTTAGGGTTGTCTTAAGTTACTGCTCTAAACCCCTTCCCAGGAGGAGGCTTTTTAGAAATGCGGGGAGGGGGTCGTCTTTCGCTACTGCTGCCAGAAATTGAACCCATGAATTTCTCACTAAATAAACGAGAATATAGGGCTTGCGGGCTGGGAAGGGCATTTCTGTTTGCAGGGAGGGGGCGGCGGATCTCCTGCCCCTCCCCCTCCCTCTGAGTTAATGAGCTCCGCTTCCTAGAAAGGCAGGGAAGTTTTTTTTGGGGGGGGGGAGAGGCAATTTGGAGGGGAGGGGTCTCCATCTTCATTCCCGGAAGAGAAGCGGACTTGGAGAAGAGGAAAAAGAGGTGCCGCATATTTGGGGGTTATTGGGGGGTGGGGGTGTTGTGGGAGAAGGATTTGCTTTCCCTCCCCCTGAATCTACAAATGGCAGCTGGGAAAGGAGGCGGGAGGATTGGGGGGGGGGGAGATAAAAGGAAAGCAGGGAGAGGCTTCGCCCTTTCTCTGTGGGAATGGGGGGTGGGCGAGATGCAGACCACCTGGCTACAAAGAGGGGTCTTCCCCCCCAACAGGGTTTGCATTACAAGACCCTTTTCGAAGCGCAGCGAAGACACTTGAGACGAACCAGAAAAGGGTGCCCCCCCCAGTGGAACTTAATTACAAAGGGATTTGCAGCCCCACCCTGTGCATGTTGACTGAGCAGTCAGTCCTCCGTTCAAAGGGGTGGAGCAGCCCCATTCCACCTAGTTGTTACCGGAAAAAATCCGAGGGCTCCCTTGGACAAAAAGTAAAGACACCAACCAGGATAACTTGGAGCAAAACAGCAGCCTGTAGGCTTGGCCTTTATTGAACTGTTGCAACAGGGTGTTCCCCTCTCTTGCAGGAGAGAGGAAAGACACAGAAAAATGGTGTGCAAGACCTTATAAAAACTTTTGAAATTCCCATCCTGTAGGTCAAGCCCACCCCCAGAAACATCATGCATACATTACAGAAAGGAGGGGTTGAGGGAGGAGTTGTGGTGGTAACCTGAGTGTCCTGTCACCTGGCTGGTTCCCTTCTCCTCCTCCCCATGAGTCATTTTCTGAAGACAAAAGGTAGTCGCAGTTTCCTGCCCCCTGAGGGAAGATCCGATCATTGTCCTTTGTTCCAGTCCATGCTGAATCCACTCCCATATGCAAGTTCTTTGTGATCTTGATTGTCTTCTGTCTAGGACCATCAGGGTTGGCATAGCAACTGGGCAGGGCTCCTGTGGATGTGCTGGGCTGGCCTGTATCAAACCTTCGCCATTTTGTAGTCCTTCCTTCATGGAGTAAAATAAAAGTGGAACAGTGCAAATCCGATGTATGGTTGATTTTCTATGAATTTATAACAGAAGTGTAGCGTATGTAGTGAGTGAGTATGAGTGTGTGTGAAGTTTGTACAAACTGAATGATGGGGGGGGGGGGTTTCCTGCTACATAGTGATGCTCCTCTCTGTTTAACACCCTCCATCTCCCTTCTCACTGCTGTCCCCCCATCGCTCCCCCCAGACTCTGCCTCCTGCGTCAGGGAGCCGGTCTGGGTGGGAGGGGAGGGGAGGGGTGAGCTCCTCCAGGACCCTGACCTGCCCCCCCCTCCGAAATCTCCTGCTGAAGCCCCTGCCTCAGTGGGGCGGAGATCTGGAGGGCAAGCAGGGGAGAGGAAGTGGAAGCAGCTGGAGAACAGAGTCTCCTCTGGATTGGGGGAGATTTTGAGTTGGGTGGGGGGTGAGAAGTGGACAATGTCAAGGGAAATCGGCCTCCGGAGCTTCCTGAGTAAGAAAGAGGCTGATGTGAGAAGGAAGGGGGAGGCCCCCCCAGCTCCCCTTTCAGAAATCCTAGTCTGGCCGGCTGAGGTTGCTTTGGCACAAAGGAAAGAGCCTTGTTGGGTTTCCCATGTTTGGGGGTGCACTTGGGGGGGGGTGTTGCTGTGCTGCTTTTGTGCCCCAAAACTGGAGGGAAGAGGCGCATTTTCCATTTCCTGAAGCATGAAAAAGCACCTTGTCGGTTTCCCTCCTGCTTGGCAAGGGAAATGGGCCCATGGATGGCAGGATTTGAAACTAATCCAGATCTCAGAAGCCTGCCAGGTCTCAGGAGGTCTCAGGAGCTTTAAAAAGCTTCAAAGCAAAGATTGGAGGAATTAAAGAAATGCCACCTGGGCAATGCTCACACCAGAACCCTGCAAGGTGGGCCAGGATGACAGCCAGATTGATGGGCAGGGCCAGAGGACAAAGTGGGTGGGGCTATGGGGCTGACTCTGAGCTTTGTCCAGGAGCTGCCTGCCTTCCAGGGATATTTCCCACCCCCACAAAAGCCCCCCAGGAGGCAGCTGGGAAGCGTTGGAAAGAGGGTGTGGCACTGGGGAAGTTCCTGAGGGCCAGAGAGAGAGAGAGGGCCAATTTAGCCCCTGGGTCTGAGGTTCCCCACCCTGCAGTTTGGGTGCTGGGCTTCCCCCAGGGAGACCCTGTCTCCCATCCCCCTGCTCAGGAGGGATGCCCTGTGCCCACTTTGGACCCCCTGATTATTTAGCCTCCTGTCCTTCCTCCCAGTGTAGGGAAGATAAAAGGGGACACACACACACACACACACACACACACACAGGTTCCTAAAAGGAAGGACTAGAGAGCCATAAGCCACTGAACTTCATATCTCTGTCCCCTAAACTACAATCCATGTTAGAGCATAGAGTGCTTTAAATATTTCCATCTGCTCCCCTTGGATGGAGCTTCTGCACCCTGGGGCCCTCCAGGTGTTGCTTTTCTTCTGACTGCAAATTCTGCCCATAATTTAGGAGTTTCCCTTATTTTCTTTATTCTAAAGATATCAAAAGGTCAGAAAGTGGTTTCCTGGATGACTATTTGGGGGAAAGGAACAGTGAGGTCTGCAGAGGTACTGACCATAATGCTTTCTGCGAAGCTTCATTCAGAGTTTGGGATTTGAAGCTGAATGTCCCCTAAAGACTGAGGCAGCTTATGGTATTACAAAGTTCCTGTAGAAAGGATTTCATCCTTCCAGTTCTCTGGCTTTGTAATTAGAATTTATGCGTATTAGTTTATTAGTATTGATATTTGTAATTTGTAACAGGTATGCTATCTGTGTAAATGTATCCCACTCTAATTAATTCCATCTTTCTGTGAACCACCCTGAGACCTCCAGGTATAGGGCGGTATATAAATTTAATTCATAACTATTATTATTATTATTATTTCTTCATTGTTCTCCTAAAAGGGCTGCTCCCTGCATTGAAGTGCATCTTGTCAACAGCTGAGAGAGTCCCAGAAGTGGCCCAGTTTACGCCTCCTCCTCCTCCGTCCTTTCCACTGCCAGCGCAATGGCCTTCGAGACAACTTCTGAACAGTCTCTTCTTAAAGGTGGGGTGGAAAGAGGAGCCAGGCAGCTTCCTCAGGTAGGGAAGAGCAACGGGAGCAGGGAGGAGGGAAGAGGCACAGATGGGACCACTCAGCCTCCCTCTGTGTTGAGTGGGGATTATGAGGATCTAAGAGCAGCTCTGTTTTCTTCTTCTTCTTCCAGGCCCTCTTGACCTTTGAGGAGGTGGCTGTGTTTTTCACAGAGGAGGAGTGGGCTCTGCTGGATCCTGGCCAACGAGCTCTGCACAAGGAAGTCATGGAGGAGAATTATGAGATGGTGGCCTCTCTAGGTAAGGGCAGATTTTTATTCCTCCTGGCTGTTAGATATTGAAGGGGTGAAACTACTGTTTGAGCCATTTATTCATGCCGTGTCTTCCTCTTTGGCGAAGCCTCGTAGCCGAATAAGATTGTCTTCCATGAACATGGTCTTAACGGTGTGTCCGTAAGTGACTGTACAGTCAATTCTGGTTCCACACATCCTTCCACAGTGGGGACATAGGTTTCCAGGCAGGAGTTAATTACGGTGAGGGTTTGCCAAACATACTTTCCTCTTAGCTTGTTTCTCCCTTTCATCCAGTGTGGTGTAGTGTTTAAAAGCAGTGGACTCGTAATCTGGTGAACCAGGTTCGCGTCTCCGCTCCTCCACATGCAGCTGCTGGGTGACCTTGGACTAGTCACACTTCTTTGAAGTCTCTCAGCCTCACTCACCTCAGAGTGTTTGTTGTGGGGGAGGAAGGGAAAGGAGAATGTTAGCCGCTTTGAGACTCCTTCGGGTAGTGATAAAGCGGGATATCAAATCCAAACTCTTCTTCTTCATCCTGAGTTGGTGCTTCTTCAAAGTCCATGATGCCTTGGTAAAGGCTATTCTGCAATTCGATGATGATTGTTCGGTAGATTTATTGCTTTATTGTTCGGCGCCCAGCCACGCTTCCCCTGCGAGCCTCTGTAGCTTCTGTTTACGCAGTGTGGCTTTCGAGCGGTCGTAAACCAATTAGCAGAATTACACAGCGGTGTGTGTCGAAAGAGCAGTAGACAAGTCCCACACGTTTCTTCTGTCCTAATATTCCTTTATTTGCTCAAAAGTAGCATATTTACAATCAATAACAGCCATCAGATTCAAGCTGCATTTTCTCTGCGTCCTTCTCTCTCAGTTTGCAGCTACGCAACAAACTGCTTTTACTTTTCACTCAGCTCACAGCATTCCAAGCTGCTTTTGTCACGTCCTGGCGTACTTCCCTTGTACGCGCCTCCTCTCGGGCTTGAGGCACAGAAGGTTAACCCTTCACTACACCCAACAATTACGATGATGATAATTTATTTATTTCCGACCCATCTGCCCGGGTTTCCCCAGCCACTCTGGGCGGTTCCCAACAAAATATTAAAAATAGAATCAAACATTAAAAACTTCCCTAAACAGGGCTGCCTTCAGATGTCTTCTAAAAGTCAGGTAGTTGTTTATTTCCTTGACATCTGATGGGAGGATGTTCGACAGGGCGGGCGCCGCTACCGAGAAGTGTGTCCCTTCAGATGTTGCTGCACTACAACTCCTGCCATCCCTGGTCATTGGCCGTCTTTACTTGGGTTGATGCTACTTAGAGTTCAACCACATCTTGAGGGCCATAGATGCCTCATCTCAGCATAGAAGGTTTCTCTTGGTGCTCAGTGTTACATGGGATTTGAAGGTAGAACTGGATACGAAGGGTTCTTGATATTATTTTCAGATTTCCTTTCCTAAAATGTGGTACAAGGGGGGGAGGAATGCTGGATTTGTTGAAATAAGAGAAAGTGCGGATTGGTCTTGCTGCGTGTTAATTTCTCTTGTTTTCTTCCTTGAAGACCTAACAATATTTTCTTTCCCCAACTTTCAACCAGGTAATGTAGAAGACAATCAGAATTATGAGGTGCCACCTGTGAAGTACTTTAGTGTGAGTGAACACCTTAGCACACATCTACAAACTAACACAGGGGAGAAACCATTCAGATGTATGGAGTGCGGAAAGAGCTTCAGACAGTCTTCAAACCTTACTAGACATCAACAGATTCACACAGGGGAGAAACCATTTAAATGCATGGAATGTGGAAAGAGCTTCAGACAGTATTTGCACCTTACTGTACATCAACGAATTCACACAGCGCAGAAACCATTTAGATGTATGGAGTGTGGGAAGGGTTTCATTAGGAGGGCAAGCCTTACTCAACATAAACGGACTCACACAGGGGAGAAACCATTTAGGTGTATGGAGTGTGGAAAGAGCTTCAGGCAGAGTAATAACCTTACCAAACATCAACAAACTCACACAGGGGAGAAACCATATAAGTGTTTGGCGTGTGGAAAGAGCTACACTGAAAATCGGTCACTTGCAAAACATCAACAAACCCACACAGAGGAGAAACCATATAGATGTATGGAGTGTGGGAAGGGTTTCATTAGGAGGGCAAGCCTTACTCAACATAAACGGACTCACACAGGGGAGAAACCATTTAGGTGTATGGAGTGTGGAAAGAGCTTCAGGCAGAGTAATAACCTTACCAAACATCAACAAACTCACACAGGGGAGAAACCATATAAGTGTTTGGCGTGTGGAAAGAGCTACACTGTAAGTGGGTCACTTGCAAAACATCAACAAACCCACACAGAGGAGAAACCATATAGATGTATGGAGTGTGGGAAGGATTTCAGTGAAGCTGGAAAACTTAAAAGACATCACCGAACTCACACAGGGGAGAAACCATATAGATGTATGGAGTGTGGAAAGAGCTTCAGGCAGAGTAATAACCTTACCAAACATCAACAAATTCACACACGGGAGAAAGCATATAAATGTTTGGCGTGTGGAAAGAGCTACACTAAAAGTGTGTACCTTGCAAAACATCAACAAACCCACACAGAAGAGAAACCATATAGATGTATGGAGTGTGGGAAGGGTTTTAGTGAGGGTGGAAAACTTACAAGACATCACCGAACTCACACAGGGGAGAAACCATATAGATGTATGGAGTGTGGGAAGGGTTTCTGTGAAGGTGGAAAACTTACAAGACATCACCGAACTCACACAGGGGAGAAACCCTTTAGATGTACAGAGTGTGGAAAGAGCTTTATTCACAATGGAGCACTTATTGTACATCTACGAACTCACACAGGGGAGAAACCCTTTAGATGTATGGAGCGTGGAAAGAGCTTCAGTCAGAAAGGAAACATTAAAAAACATCAACAAACACATAGGGGAGAAACCATATGAATGTATGGATTGTGGAAAGTGCTTCAGTAAGAGCATAACTCTTAGAAAACATCAACGATCTCACAGAGAAGCAATGGTTTAAATGTTTGAAGTGTGGAAAGTGTTTCAGTTATAATGGAGTCCTTAATAATCACTTACAGACTCACATAGGGGAGAACCCATGGAGATGTCAAGTTTTCCCCACAGAATTCACTTTGTCCCTCATATCCACAAACCCTCATAGGGGGAAATCCATTCTAAATGCACAGAGAATATTTGATGTTCTGGTGTTTGTATGGAGTGTTGTGCATATATGTATTAAAGCAACAAAGGTAATGTCTCATAATAGTAAGTATAATGAAAGAGATAATGTACTGTTATGGATGTGTAGAATTTGACTCTGGAGTGCTCATTGTGAGTGAACATGTGCTGAGAATCCATTGATATTTGATCTCTGGCAGACAGAGCTAGGAATGGAGAGTTGTGAAAAGTGGAGCACGACAGTGGTGTTTAGGAAGCAGGATTGGCTCTGCAGTCCTAGATCTGTAGAATTGAAAGGGACTTCGGTCTTCCTGTTATCAGAGCAGCAGCATAAAACCCATTTTTATAATTGCAATAAAGGAACAATGAAAACACAGAGAGGCTGAAATCATCTTCATGCAGAAAGTAATCTTTAAACCATCATATATTGCTTAATCTTGGCTACGGCACAGGGGAATGTGGGCATTGCCAGTGTTTATATTTTATTTATTTATTTATTATTCATTCATTCATTCATTCATTCATACGTACATACATACATACATAGATACCCTGCCCATCTGGCTGGGTTTCCCCAGCCACTGTGGCGGCTTCCAACAAAAGATTAAAAATACATTAAAACATCTGTCATTAAAAACTTCCCTAAACAGGGCTGCCTTCAGATGTCTTCTAAACTTCAGATAGTTGTTTATTTCCTTGACATCTGATGGGAGGGTGTTCCATAGGGCAGGCACCACTACCGAGAAGGCCCTCTGCCTGTTTCCTGTAACCTCACTTCTTTGCAGGGATGGAACCGCCAGAAGGCCCTCGGCGCTGGACCTCAGTGTCCGGGTTGAATGATGGGAGTAGAGACGGCCCTTCAGGTATACTGGACCGAGGCCGTTTAGGGCTTTAAAGGTCAGCACCAACACTTTGAATTGTGCTTGGAAACATGCTGAGAACCAATTCAGGTCTTTTGGGGGGTCATTTGCCTGTGGGGAAAGAAATCTCTGTGCCCACATAATTGGCCCTGTTTCAGAAATCAGGTAGTATAGGAGGCCACACTAGTCATGTTAGACTGGTGGGGAAGAATAGGCCTATGAGCGGCAAACAAATTTAGTCCTCTTTATGTTGTGGTAAATCATCTTCAGCAAGGGTCCAGATTGACAACATTCTCAGCCGAATGCCTCTTAGTAATAGGTTAATGATTTTGTATTAACTTTAAAACCAGGGAAGGCCAATCCGGTTCTAATAGCAGCTACCGCAATTGACACATGGCCATTCTTTACCACCCCCTTTGTATGCATGAATCATAGAATTGTTGAGTTGGAAGGGAGTGTGACGGTCATCGTATTCATCCCCCTGAAATGCAGGAACTGTTGGGGTTTTTGACTCCGTGCCATTCTGTGCAGCTTCACACAGAGTCAATTAAGAGTTGGGCAACAGCCAAGTATGACTGAGCAGAGAGGAGTTATCTGCCTGGAGATATGGGACAGCTTTACCATTGGTTGAGGTCTCACACAGGCATGATGACTTATGACCTTACTGACTTGATAGTTTGTTGGTCAGTGTGGTGTTCTGAGTTCTGAGAGTTTGTTAAGAGAGAGCTGGTTAAGATTCGTATCTGTTCCTGTATATAGTAACTTGTAGAGTCTGCTGTAAATAATAAACCCATCTAAGTAACCAAGTTACCATTAGCAGCGTCTTGTTCCTGCTTCGTCCATCCTGCCTGCAACTGATTGCTTTCTGGAACTCTGCGTATGCTCTGCTAAGGTCTGGCTAAGGTCCTGCAACAGGTCAAAGTTGCAAAACACCAATAGGAATGACATCTTAATAATCCCTGACATGGTCATTAAGATATTAAGACTGCACCTGGGACTTCCTTCTGCATGCAAAGCATTGCATCTGAGGCCTTCTGCATGCGAAGCAACTTCTCTGCCACTGAGCTTTGTCCCTTCAAAGCAAAGCCTAACTTTGTCCATTGGCCCCCACTTTTTGAAAAGTACGCATTGTAATCACACCGGACCACCCCCTACCCACCCCATACCCCATACACATCCTATTCAACAGTAGGGTTTCTGGAATATGTCTGGAATTTCTCAGATATACCCAGGATACTGTAGTTGGAAGCAGTGTCTGGGTGAAAATCGGCAAAATGTCCCATGTCGGCAGTGCCATTTTTGCTGATTTTGCTAAAAGATAGCTCAAAATAGCTCAAAAACTGCATTATATTTTTTTTGCAAAGTAAGTTCAAAAACTTTGGGAAAAACTAAAGAAAAAGCTGGACTGGTTTTGTGTCCGGATTTTTACTTTTTGAAATATGGCCACCTAATCATCATCATCATCATCACCTTCCAACATACATATATAAAAACATAATAAAACATTAAACAGCTTTGCTATACAGGGCTGCCTTTCAGATGTTACTTATCTCTTTGGTTCAGGGGTCGCATTTCTCCCTCCAAAATTTATCCAATGGATATAGGGACAACCTATGGAAAATAAGACTTTCCAGGATCAAATCAGAAACCAGGATAGCTTCTGTAAATCCAGAGGTGTCCCTGGAAAACCCTAACCCCCTATAATATTATTGTAAGTTGCTGCTCTGAACCCCTTCCACCCTCTTTCCCCCCGGGGGGGGGGCTTTTCAGAAGTAAGGTGTGCGTTTCCTCTTTCGCTGCCGGGGATTGAACCTGTGACCGTCTCACCAAATAAATGGCAATACAGAGCTTCTCTGCCACCCTAGGAAAACAGGTCTTCCCCGGAATTAGGACGGATAGATTGTTCAGTGATTTTGGAGGTCAGATAAAAAAAACTTTCCCCCAGAAGGCGTGGACCACGGTACACTCCCACCAAATGGGAAAATAGGAATCCGAGACCTTCTGCATGCAAAGCAACTGTTCTACCACTGAGCTGCACCCGCCCCCATAACAAAGCCTAAATTTATCCATCAGCTCCTGCGTTTTAGAAAAGGTCCGTATAGTGAAAGCGCATGGTTTTCCCAGTAGTGATGTATGGAAGCGAGAGTTGGACCATAAAGAAGGCTGATCACCGAAGAATTGATGCTTTTGAATTATGGTGCTGGAGGAGACTCTTGAGAGTCCCATGGACTGCAAGAAGATCAAACCTCTCCATTTTGAAGGAAATCAGCCCCGAGTGCTCACTTGAAGGACAGATCCTGAAGCTGAGGCTCCAATACTCTGGCCACCTCATGAGAAGAGAAGACTGCCTGGAAAAGACCCTGATGTTGGGAAAGATTGAGGGCACAAGGAGAAGGGGATGACAGAGGACGAGATGGTTGGACAGTGTTCTCGAAGCTCCTAACATGAGTTTGACCAAACTGCGGGAGGCAGCGGAAGACAGGAGTGCCTGGCATGCTCTGGTCCAGGGGGTCACGAAGAGTCGGACACGACGAAACGACTAAATGACAACAACACCCATTGAAATGACACTGGACCAGCCTTTAGGGTTGTCATAAGTTACGGCTCTAAACCCCTTCCCAGGCGGAGGCTTTTCAGAAATGGGGGTTCGCCTTTCGCTACCGCTCGCAGGAACTGAAGGCATTGATTTCTCACTAAATACTGTAAAAGGGAATATACTGTACAGTAGATATTGCTGGCTGGGGAGGGAATTTCTCTTTGAAGGGAGCGGGAGGCGGATCTCCTGCCACTCATCCCTCCCTCTGGGCCAATGAGCTCCGTTTCCTAGAGAGGCAGGAAGTTTGTTTTTTTTTGGGGGGGGGAGTAGAAGCAAAGTTGGAGGGGAGGGGTCTCCATGCACATCCCCTGAAGAGAAAGAGGCCCGCAGAGGAGGATGAAGAGGTGCCGCGTATTTTGGGGGGCGCGACTTGGGGTTGCGGGTTGGCAGAAGAATTTGCATTTCCTCCCCCTGAATCTATAAACAGAGCAGCTGGGAAAGGAGAGTAGGGGGGGGGGAGAGCAGGGAAGGGCTCCCCGCTTTCCCTCTGGGTATCAGTAGGGGGGGGGGCGGGATGCAGGCCATCCTGTTGCAAAGTGGGGTCCCCCCCCCAAAACAGGGTTTTCATTGCAAGATCCTTTTAGAAGCGCAGAGATCCAGGCAGCCGCCCATGGTGGGGGGAGGGGGGGCGAAGACACTTGAGAAGAACCACAAAAGGGTGACACCCCCCCCAGTGCAACTTAACTACAAAGGGATTTGCAGCCCCACCCTCTGCATGTTGACTCAGAGGTCAGTCCTCCGTTCAAAGGGGGGGGGGCAGCCCCATTCCACCTAGTGATGCTCCTCTCTGTTTAACACCCTCCATCTCCCTTCTCACTGCTGACCCCTCCTGCCCCCCCATCGCTCCCCCCAGGGCTCTGCCTCCTGTTTCAGGGAGCCAGTCTGGACGGGAGGGGAGGGCTGAGCTCCTCCAGGACCCTAATCTACCCCCTCTGAAATCTCCTGCTGAAGCCCCTGCCTCAGTGGGGCGGAGATCTGGAGGGCAAGCAGGGGAGAGGAAGTGGAAGCAGCTGGAGAACAGAGTCGCCTCTGGATTAGGAGAGAGGGGGGAGATTTTGAGTTGGGTGGGGGGTGAGAGGTGGACAGTTCCCTTGACATTGGCCTCCGGAGCTTCATGAGTAAGAAAGAGGCTGATGTGAGAAGGAAGCAAAGGAAACAAGGATGTGCTTCTTGGGAAGGGGGAGGCCCCCCAGCCCCCCTTTCAGAAATCCTAGTCTGGCCGGCTGAGGTTGCTTTGGCACAAAGGAAAGAGCCTTGTTGGGTTTCCCATGTTGGGGGTGCAGTTGGGGGCGGGGTGTGCTGTGCTGCTTTTGTGCCCCAAAACTGGAGGGAAGAGGAGCATTCCTGATTTCCTGAAGCATGAAAAAGCACCTCATCAGTTTCCCTCCTGCTTGGCAAGGGAAATGGGCCCATGGATGGCAGTATTTGAAACTGATCAAAGTCTCAGGAGCCCTTTAAACACCTTCAAGGCCAAGATTGGAGGAATTAAATAAATGCCCCTTCCCTAGCTGGACTTGGGGAAAAGGGGGAGGGGGAGGAAACTGATAACCACCACCACCCCTGCAGATTTTCAGGCTGTTTCTTTCCAAAAAGAGGCTTCTCCAGATATCCTCTTGGGACTTTGTCGGGAAGGAGAATCAAAGCTCCCAGGGGTGGGAGATCTGGCCTGCCTTGCAGGATTGGCCCAGCGCAGAGGTGCTGAGGGACTTTCTCTGCCGGTGCTGCCAGCCTCGCTCCTGCCTGGCTTCGTCCCCATCCAGGTTGCCAGGAGGGTCTTATAATACTGTAGGTGATCTAAAGCCCAATTCCGGGTATAGGGCGGTATATAAATTCAAATAATAATAATAATAATAATAATAATAATAATAATTTATGCATTGTTCTCCTGAAAGAGCTGCTCCCTGCTTTGAATTGCTTCATGGCAACAGCTGAGTCCTGGAAGTGGCCTAGTTTCCGCCTCCTTGTCCTCCATCTCTCCCACAGGCAGCGCAATGGCCTCAAAGGCCCTGTTTGGACCATCCCTTCTTAAAGATGGAGTGGAAAGAGGAGCCAGGCAGCTTCCTCAGGTAGGGAAAGAGCAACGGGAGCAGGGAGGAGGGAAGAGGCACAGATGGGACCACCCAGCCTCCCTCTGTGTTGAGTGGGAATGATGGGGATCTAAGAGCAGCTCTGTCTTCTTCCTCTTCTTCTTCCAGGCCCTCTTGACCTTTGAGGAGGTGGCTGTGTTTTTCACGGAGGAGGAGTGGGCTCTGCTGGATCCTGGCCAAAGAGCTCTGCACAAGGAAGTCATGGAGGAGAATTATGAGATGGTGGCCTCTTTAGGTAAGGGCAGATTTGTATCCCTCTTGGCTGGTAGACATTGAAAGGGTGAATCTCCTGTTTGAGCCATTTATTCATGCCATGAAGGAGCAACATAGGAATTAGGCCAGTGGCCCATCTAGTCCAGCATCCTGTTCTCCCACTGGCGAAACCAAATGCCTGTGGGAAACCAGCAAGCAGGATTCAAACACAAGAACACTCTTGCCTCCTGTAGTTTCCAGTGTTTAGGAACATTGCTGTCTTCTGACTGTGGAGGCATTGCAGCGGGAAGGTAAACGGCGTTTCCGTGCGCTGCTCTGGTTCACCAGAAGCGGCTTAGTCATGCTGGCCACATGACCCGGAAGCTGTACGCCGGCTCCCTCGGCCAGTAAAGCGAGATGAGCGCCACAACCCCAGAGTCAGTCACGACTGGACCTAATGGTCAGGGGTACCTTTACCTTTACTTATGATGTAAATAGCACTTCTGTTTCACTTATTCCACATAGGAGAGATACTCAAGTCTGAGCTCATCTCGCCAGAAACAGAAATATATGGAGATGTTGTCCTGGACCAATTGAGAGGTATGTCCTTCCACTTTGTTGTGAGGCTGTATCTTTGTGTATCTCATTTCAGTATGTAGGAATATAAAAAGAGCCCATCAGGATGAAGCCCCATCTTTTCCTGCATCCTGTTCTCAGAGAGACTGTCAAGGAGAAACCAAGGGCCGGAGGGCAACAGCGGTCTCTCGACTCACGAATTTTCTCTTAAGCAATAACATGCTGTAAATTTTATATCCATATTCCATAATTGTGATAGTTGTTCCCCAAACCCCCACTTCATATCCTTTTTAAATATTTCATTCAAATGATGATATCGTAACCATGTTGTCAACATTCCTGGTAAATCCTTCAACCCTTTTAATTTAAATTCTCCACCCACCACTCTTAATAAATAAGTCACCCAACTTTCCGCCATAGTTTTATTTTCACCGCTATGGCTTCCAAAGGTGAAAGTCAAAGTGGTGTTTTCGCTCCCAATAAATTTCTATATATGTCCCATATTCCAGGGACCTCCAACTTCCAAGAGACTGCAATCTACTCACGGTATAAAAATATTGGCAGTGATCTACTCATTGTTAGAGTTGTTGAGCTTTTTTTGGGAATATGATAAAAAAAATACCTACTTTCCCCTTTCATTTCCAGCAGATACCTAATTCAGTTTTGTACATCTTAGCTAAATTGCTCGGTGTCAGATACCACCTGTACATCACTTTCATAAAATTCTTCTTCAGTGTGCAACATGCTGTAAATTTTAAATCTCTTCCACATTTCTCCCAAGCACTTATCTCTATATTATGGCCTGTATCTCTTGCCCAGTGAATCATAGCTGGTTTTACCAGTTCATCCTGTTCTCATAACAAATAGAATTGAGTTGTGATCAGAAATAGTCCTTGGTCATCTTTAAAAAAATTGTTACGGGTAAAAACCATGTTTATATGCATTACCACATTGATCTTTTTAGTTTATCACTGGTTATAAACTCTTCAACAAATATTTTGGTTACTAATACTCTGGTGTGTCAACTTGCAACATGTGTCTCCAGCAATAAGAGACTATTTTCTGGGATTATTTCCTTTCCTTAAAATGTTGTATATAGAAGAGGGGAGATTGTTGGAGGTGTTGAAATAAGAGAAGGTGCTGATTGGTCTTGCTGTGTGTTCTCTTGTTCTGTTCCTTGAAATCCTAACAATATTTTCTTATCCCCCTCTTAAAACCAGGTGATGAAGAAGGCAATCAGAATTATGAGGGGCCATCTGTAAAGTACGTCAGTGTGAGTGAACCTCTTAGCACACATCTACAAAATAACACAGAGGAGAAACCCTTTAAATGTATGGAGTGTGGAAAGAGCTTCAGTAAAAATGGAAATCTTACTGCACATCAACGAATTCACACAGGGGAGAAACCATTTAGATGTATGGAGTGTGGGAAGTGCTTCAGTGAAAGCGGTAATCTTACTGTACATCAACGAACTCACACGGGTGAGAAACCATTTAAGTGTATGGAGTGTGGAAAGAGCTTCCGTGAAAATGGAAAACTTATTATACATCAACGAACTCACACCGGTGAGAAACCCTTTAGATGTACGGAGTGTGGGCAGAGCTTCAGTCAGAATGGAACTCTTACAACACATCTACAAATTCACACAGGGGAGAAACCCTTTAAATGTATGGAGTGTGGGCAGAGCTTCAGTCGGAATAGAACTCTTACAGCACATCTACGAATTCACACAGGGGAGAAACCGTTTAAATGTACGGAGTGTGGGCAGAGCTTCAGTCACAATGGACGCCTTACTCTACATCAACGAACCCATACAGGGGAGAAACCATTTAGATGTATGGAGTGTGGGAAGTGCTTCAGTCAGTGTTCACACCTAACTCTACATCAACGAACTCATACAGGGGAGAAACCATTTAAATGTATGGAGTGTGGGCAGAGCTTCAGTTCGTGTTCACAACTTATTCTACATCAAAGAACTCATACAGGGGAGAAACCATTTAAATGTATGGAGTGTGGGCAGAGTTTCACTCGGTGTTCACAGCTTACCCTGCACCAACGAACTCATACAGGGGAGAAACCATATAAATGTTTGGAGTGTGGAACGAGCTTCATTTGTAGTTCAAGACTCACTGTGCACCAGCAAAGTCACACCGGGGAGAAACCATTTACATGCTTGGAGTGTGGGAAGTGCTTCAGTCAGTGTTCACACCTTACTATACATCAACGATCTCACACAGGGGAGAAACCATTTAAATGTATGGATTGTGGAAAGTGCTTCAGTCATAGTGGATCTCTTGCAAAGCATCAACAAATTCACACAGGGGAGAAACCATTTAAGTGTATGGAGTGTGGAAAGAACTTCAGACAGTGTTCACACCTTACTAGACATCAACGAACTCACACAGGGGAGAAACCATTTAAATGTATGGATTGTGGGAAATGCTTCAGTCATAGTGGAGGTCTTACAAGACATCTACAAACTCACACAGGGGAGAAACCCTTTAAATGTTTGGAGTGTGGAAAGAGCTTTAGTGAAAATGGAAAACTTACAATACATCAACGAACTCATACAGGGGAAAAACCATTTAAATGTATGGAGTGTGGAAAGAGCTTTAGTGCAAGTACAAAACTTACAATACATCAACAAACTCACACGGGTGAGAAACCGTTTAAATGAATGGAGTGTGGGAAGTGCTTCAGTTATAACTGAGTTATTAATAAACACCTATGAACTCTCACAGGGGAGAACCCATTTAGATGTATGGAGTGTGCCAAGTTTTTCCAACAGATGTTGGAAACTTTGTCCCTCGTTTCAACAAACTCATACAGGGAAAAATCAATTGTAAATGTATGGAGTGTATTTGATGTTCTTGTGTTTGTATGGAATTTTGTGCATATATGTATTAAGACAGTGAAGGTTATGTCTCATAATAGTAAGTATAATGAAAGATACAATGTACTGTTTGGGGTATTCAGAATGTGGCTCTGGAGTGCTCATTGTGAGTGAACATGTGCTGAGAATCCATTGATATTTGATCTTTGGCAGACATAGTTAAGAATGGAGAGTTGTGAAAAGTAGAACACAACAGTGGTGTTTAGGAAGCAGGATGGGCTCTGGAATCCTAGAACTGTAGAGTTGAAAGGGACTCCAAGGGTCTAGTCCAACTCCTTGTTATAAGAACAGCAGCATAAAGCCCATTTTTATAATTGCAATAAAGGAACAATGAAAACACAGGAAGACTGAAACCATCGTCTTATGTTCATGGCTCCATTAACGGGCAAAGTGGATAAAATCCCTGGTTGCAACTGGAATAAAGAGGTTCTGAGGGGAACAACCAATATGGGGAGGGAAGGTGGCACAGGGAAATGTGGGCATTGCCAGTGGCTTCAGGAGAGTCATTTCCTCCCTAAATGGTGGTCCGGTGTCATTTCAGTGCGTACCTTTTGTAAAAAGAGGGAGCTGATGGGAGAAAGGCTTTGTTATGGGGTGGGGGGCCCACAACTCAGTGGTAGAGCAGTTGCTTTGCATGCAGAAGGTCTCAGATTCCTGTTTCAACGTTTGGTGGGAGTGTAGTGTGGTCCAGGTCTTCTGGGGCAAAGTTTTTTAATCTGACCTTCAAAATCTCTAAACAATCTATTCATCCGAATTCAGCACTTGCATTATTATAACTAGAGGAGGACTGCCTGCTGGGAGCTTGAGGGCCCTTCTCTGCCTCTCTGCACCCATAGCTGTCAACTTTTCCCTTTTCTTGCGAGGAATCCTATTCGGAATTCCTCCTATTTCCCTTTAAAAAAGGGTGGGGCCTGACAGGCTTCACAAGGACTGTGGCTGCTGCTCAACAGAGAGGCCTCCTCCTCTAAATTGTTTCTAAAATACTTTTTATACTTTTAATAATTCTGCTTTAGTGTTTTAACTGCTTTTAACTGGGCTGCAAGGGTATTCAGTAGGAGGGGCTTGGGAGGAGAGGAGTTGGGGAGAGCCCGGGAGACCAATTACAGTGGTCCTGGTTAGGGGGAGGTATTGCGTGAGAGGAGGGGCAGGCCAGGTATGGGGCGGGAGGCTCAGGCACTTAATGACTTCTGTGTGCCAGCCCCTCCTCCAACCCTGGGAATTGTGGTTGTCATATCAGCCAGCTGTTGGGTCTGCGACTGCTACTGCTGAATGCCAGGTCCACCCAGAATAAAATTTCCCTCATCCATGATCTGTTTTTGGACGAGGAGTTTGATGTGGCGTGTATTACTGAAACCCGGGTGGGTCAACAGGGTGGAGTTGGTCTCACCCAGCTGTGCCCACCTGGGTACCCAGTGCACCATCAGGCCAGAATCGAGGGTTGGGGAGAAGGAGTTGCTGTAGCCTGTAGAGATTCTCTCTATCTCCAGGCTCTCTGTCCAGTTGAGAGGGAATCTAGAACGTGTGTTCCTGGCACTGGGCAATCGGGACAGATTTGGGATTCTGCTGGTTTATCACTCATCTCGCTGCCCAGCAGTCTCCCTGCCTGAGCTGACATAGCTGGTTTCAGAGGAGGTGTTGAGGACTCCCAGACCGCTGGTTCTTGGAGACTTCAACATCCATGCCAAGGCAGCTGGCTCTGGGCTGGCTCAGACTTCATGGCTGCCATGACAACCATGGGCTTGTCCCAACATGTCACCGGTCCAACAAACATGGCAGGCCACACTCTGGACCTTGTTATCTCTACTGGGAAGGGAGAGGGTGATCTGAAGGTGGGGGGCGTTGACATCAGTCCCTTGTCATGGTCTGATCACTTCCTGTTGAGATTAAGATGCCAGCACCTTTCCCCTTTCAAAGCCCTGGCCGACCTGTGGAACACCAGAATGCCTCAGGCTATTGACATGATCACCCCTGAGCACTAACTCCCACTTTGTGGAGCCCGATTGGCCCCTGGTATACTCCAGAGTTTAGGGTGAAGAAAGTAGCTGGGAGATGGCTCAAATGCAAATGGAGGAAAGATCAAATGAATGCAACTGAACACAGGTAAGGGCTCATTATCGAGCCTACCTAGTGGCAGTGAAGGCAGCAAAGAAGGCATACTTTGCTGCCTCCATTGCATCCTCATTTGACATCCATCAGAGCTTCTCCGGGTTGTACGGGACTTTTTAGAGGCTGGCCCAAAAGCGGTGGAAGAACCAATGGTAGCTCGCTGTGACTTGTATGCAAAGCATTTTGAGAAGATCGCTTGCTTGCGTTGGATGAGTTTCAGTTGGTAAGGCTCAAGGATGTGGACATGGTGCTCAGATCAGTCAGGGCAACCACTGGATGGATGGCAGCTAGTGGATTGAGGTTGAATCCTGACAAGACAGAAGTACTGTTCTTGGGGGACAGGGGGCGGGCTGGTGTGGAGGACTCCCTGATCCTGAATGGGGTAACTGTGCCACTAAAGGACCAGGTGCGCAGCCTCGGAGTCATTTTGGACTCATAGCTGTCCATGGAGGCGCAGGTCAATTCTGTGTCCAGGGCAGCTCTTTACCAGCTCCATCTGGTACGCAGGCTGAGACCCTACCTGCCCGCAGTGGTGCATGCTCCGGTTATCACCCACTTGGACTACTGCAATGCGCTCTACGTGGGGCTACCTTTGAAGGTGACTCGGAAACTGCAATTAATCCAGAATGCAGCAGCTAGACTGGTGACTGGGAGTGGCCGCGGAGACCATATAACACCAGTCCTCCCAGTAGGCCCCCAGTACATTTCCGAGCACAATTTAAAGTGTTGGTGCTGACCTTTAAAGCCCTAAACGGCCTTAGTCCTGTATACCTGAAGGAGCGTCTCCACCCCCATCATCCAGCCCAGACACTAAGGTCCAGCTCCGAGGGCCTTCTGGCAGTTCCCTTGCTGTGAGAAGTGAGGTTACAGGGAAGCAGGCAGAGGGCCTTCTCGGTAGTGGCGCCTGCCGTGTGGAACGCCCTCCCAGCAGATGTCAAGGCAATAAACAACTATTTTACTTTTAAGAGACAGCTCAAGGCGGCCCTGTTTAAGGAAATTTTTAATGTCTGATGCTGTATTGCTTTTAATATTCTGTTGGGAGCTGCCCAGAGTGGCTGGGGTATAAATTAATAATAATAATAATAATGATAATGATAATGATAATTACTTGCGCTCTAGACCCTTGCCCCTCTTGGCTGATGAAAACAGGGGAGGGAACAGCTGGCTGGGCCAGGGAGGTGATCAATGGTCCCTGCCTGGATGAAGGAGGCAGTGGTAAAACCACTCCTGAAGAAACCTTCCCTAGATTCAGAAAACCTGACAAACTACCGGTCAGTTGCTAATCTCCCTTTCTTGGGCAAAGTTCTGGAGCGAGTGGTCATGGACCAGATCCAGGCGCTTTTGGAAGAAACTGCTTTTCTGGATCCATTTCAAGTGGGGTTTAGGCCCAGTAGTTTTGACATAGAACCTGTTTTGGTCGCCCTGTATAATAGCCTCTGTCAAGAGAGAGACAAGAGAAACATGTCCCTGTCAATTCTCCTCTTTTTTGTTGCCTCTTGCAAGAATTGAACCCATGAATTTCTCACTAAATAAACGAGAATATAGGGCTTGCAGGCTGGGAAGGGCATTTCTGTTTGCAGGGAGGGGGAGGCGGATCCCCTCCCCTCCCCCTCCCTCTGGGTCAATGAGCTGCGTTTCCTAGAGAGGCAGGAAGTTTGTTTATTGGGGAGGAGGGAGGCAATGGGGGGGGGAGGGGTCTCCATCCTCTTTCCCAGAAGAGAAGCGGACTTGGAGAAGAGGTGCCTTATATTTGGGGGTTATTTGGGGGTGGGAAAAGGATTTGCTTTCCCTCTCCCTGAAACTTCAAACAGGGCAGCTGGGAAAGAAGGAGGGAGGATGGGGGGGGGGATAGAAAGGAAAGCAGGGAGGGGCTCCGCTCTTTCCCTGTGGAAATAAGTGGGGGGGGGGCTGATAAAGGCCGTCCTGTTGCAAAGTGGGTTCCCCCTCCCTCAACAGGGTTTGCATTGCAAGATGCTTTTTGAAGCGCAGAGATAAAGCCAGGCTCCCATGGTGGGGGGACTGGGGGGGGGGCAAAGACAGTGGAGCCAAACCAGAAAAGGGTCCCCCCCAGTGCACCCTAACTACAAAGGGATTTACAGCCCCACCCTCAGTGCTGGATTTACATATAAGCTAAACAAGCTATAGCTCAGGGGCCTCACACTCTTGGGGTCCCCCCCCCAAAAGGAAAAAACCAACTGATGGTACATTTCCAAAATATAAGATAAAAAACAAATAAAATAAAACCTACATACAGCAACAGTGTGTTGTGTTGTGTAGGCTCCTATGATGTCAGTAATGAGCCCCGCCTGCTTGCCTGCTCCCTAAAATATCACTGGTTTGCTCATTTCTATATATAGGGTGTCTGCATTCTGCATGCCCTGGCTGCATGGCAACAAGTACAAATGGCTTTAGATTCCCAATAGGTCCATAAATTACCACATAGCATATAAGGTAAAGGTAAAGGTACCCCTGCCCGTACGGGCCAGTCGTGTCCGACTCTAGGGTTGTGCGCTCATCTCACTTAAGAGGCCGGGAGCCAGCGCTGTCCGCAGACAGTTCCGGGTCACATGGCCAGCGTGATGAAGCTGCTCTGGCGAGCCAGCACCAGCGCAGCACACGGAAACGGGGTTTACCTTCCCGCTATAAAGCGGTACCTATTTATCTACTTGCACTTAGAACTGCTAGGTGGGCAGGAGGTGGGACCGAAAGACGGGAGCTCACCCCGCCGCGGGGATTCGAACCGCCGACCATACGATCGGCAAGTCCTAGGCACTGAGGTTTTACCTACAGCGCCACCCGCGTCCCTCCACATAGCATATATCCAACACAAAAAACAGCGGCAATTTGTTGTTGACAAAGGACAGCAGGACATATAAAGGGCCCCTACTCCATTCAAAGGGGTGGTAGTCCCATTCCACCTAGAGATGCTCCTCTCTGTTTAACAGCTTCCATCTCTGGGAGAGAGGAAGGAGATTTCGAAATGGGTGGGGGATGAGAGATGGACAATGTCAAGGGAAATCAGCCTCCGCAGCTTCCTTAGTAAGAAAGAGGCTGATATAAGAAGGAAGCAAAAAGAAACAAGAATTTGCTTATTGGGAAGGGGGAGCCCCCCCCATGTTGGCAGAGTGGGGAACAATGGGGGAGGGTTTGCTGTCCTGTTTATGTGCCCCTGAAGTGTAGGGAAGAGGCACATTTTGGATTTCCTGAAGCTTGGAAAATGGGCGCATGAGTGATGGGATTTAAAACTACTCACGCAGCTTCAGGTCTGTGCTCATAAGGGGCCAGTTTCGTTTTTCGTTTTTCCTTCTTTTGGTTTTTTTGTTAAATAATTTTTATTAGTTTTCAAGTACAGTGGTACCTCAGGTTACATACGCTTCAGGTTACATATGCTTCAGGTTACACACTTCACTATCCCAGAAATAGTGCTTCAGGTTAAGAACTTTGTTTCAGGATAAGAACAGAAATCGGGCTCTGGCGGCGCGGCAGCGGCAGGAGGCCCCATTAGCTAAAGTGGTGCTTCAGGTTAAGGACAGTTTCAGGTTAAGAACGGACCTCCGGAATGAATTAAGTACCGTATTTTTCGCCCTATAGGACGCACTTTTTCCCCTCCAAAAATGAAGGGGAAATGTGGGTGCGTCCTATGGGGCGAATACAGGCTTTTGCTGAAGCAATGCGCAACCCTCCCGAGCCCAGCGCCAAGCCGCGCCGGGCTCCAGAGGGTCGCGCACATCTGCCTGCGCTCCCAGGGTCCGCGCAGCTCTGCGCGACCCTCCCGAGCCCAGCGCCAAGCCGCGCCGGCCTCCAGAGGGTCGTGCGCAGCTGTCTGCCCTCCCGGGCTCCGTGCAGCTCTGCGCATCCCTCCGGAGCCCGGCGCCAACCTGTGCCGGCCTCCGGAGGGTCGCGCACATCTGCCTGCGCTCCCGGGGTCTGCACAGCTCTGCGCGACCCTCCGGAGCCCCGCGCCAGCCGCGCCGGCCTCCGGAGCGTCGTGCGCAGCTGTCTGCCCTCCCGGGCTCCGTGTAGCTCTGCGCATCCCTCCGGAGCCCGGCGCCAAGCTGCGCCGGCCTCCGGAGGGTCGCGCACAGCTGCCTGCGCTCCCGGGGTCCGCGCAGCTCTGCGCGACCCTCCGAAGCCCAGCGCCAAGCTGCGCCGGCGTCCGGAGGGTCGCGCAGAGCTGCCTGCCCGCCCGGTCTCCGTGCAGCTCTGCGCATCGCTCCGGAGCCCGGCGCCAAGCTGCGCCGGTGTCCGGAGTGTCGCGCAGAGCTGCCTGCCCGCCCGGTCTCCGTGCAGCTCTGCGCATCGCTCCGGAGCCCGGCACCAAGCCGCGCCAGCCTCCGGAGGGTCGCGCAGAGCTGCCTGCCCTCCTGGGGTTGCACAGAGCTGCCTGCATTAGGAAGCCTCAGCGCGCCCGGGCTTCGCACAGCTGTCCGCAAGCCTGGGGAGACCGGCGCGGCTCCCTAGGCTTGCGGATAGCAGGCTCTTCTGGGGGCTGGGGTCGGGGGAAGCTCGGGCTTCCCCTGCGCCAGCCCCGTGCCTGGGGGGGATTTTTTTTCTTTCTTTATTCCCCCCCCCAAAAAAAACTAGGTGCGTCCTATAGGGCGGTGCGTCCTATGGGGCGAAAAATATGGTACTTAACCCAAGGTACCACTGTACCAAACTCCCAATATATGTCACATTGTATCAGTACCAGATTACCCTGCACATTTCTCATTAACATTAAAAAATAACCAAAAAGAAGACATTTTTACCCCCCCCTCCAAATCCTCGGACTTCCCTCCACCCCTTCTTCTGGTTCTTTAAATAAACCAATCATCTTACATTCTGGATCCCTTTGCACAATTTCCCAGCTACTGAACAATTAAACTTGCGGTGCACTGCACAGATATTTTAAACATCCAGGCCTCTTTATACATTATGCACCTATGCTTACAGACTATTTCCCCTTTTAAAATTATCCTTATTGTTGCTTTTTGCAAGCATTTAATCCATGTCTGCTGATGTCCCAACTTACCAGACTGTTACCCATTCTTTTTTCTTACTTTGGCATATTTAAATCTCCTCCGGAAGAGGCTTCCCATTAGGACAATTCCCAATTTGAGCCCTCCTTCCTTCCAAATTTCTCTGTCTCCACAGTTGTGAGTTCACCCAAATTTCTCTGTTTCCTGTCTGTACTCATGTTTAAAGCTCCTCAAGAAGCTGCTAACAATTAGGACCATTTCAAATTTCAGCTCCTCTTATCTTAACAATGGTGATTTTACCAATACTTTCTCAAATGTTTTCTGCATGTGCTGCCCTTCAAATCCCTGCTCTTTCCTTTTGGATTTTCTTCGTAACAATTAGCCTTTCCCCCTTTACAAACTTTCCCACCTGTCTTTGCCCAAGAGTCTCCCCTGACTCTATTCTTCTTGTTTCTGGTTCTTCTGCCGTGTTGTTACATTGATCCAATATGGTACTGATGGTCTGTGATATCTTGGCCATACGTTCCATAAATTCTCTTTTCCATTGATACAAAAATGCCATAGTTTCTCTGGCTGACCTTCCATCGTTTTCAGAACAGCCAGTTTCCTCTACCAGTCGTGATTACGTCCAAGGCCATTCAGTACACTTTCCCAGTAAACACCAAGGGAGATCCAGTACTTTCCCAGCGAAAGCGTATTAAAACCGCTTGTCCGCTTTTCCAAAATGTCTCAGAGTGGGGTACAAAGTCACTTGCAAACTGTTCCTTAAAGTCTCAGTTGTGTTTGTTGAGCCAACTCCAAGCTTCTTCCTCCTTTTATTCCTTACAACAGGAAATTTTATAATCCTCAGCTGAGTACTTCGTATATCTTAATGCAAGTCTCTTCTGCGAAAAGTTTGATACAGTGGTGTTAGGGCTCCCTGACGCTCCCAGGACTCTGGCACCACCTTCCCTTTTCTGTCTCTCAACACAGCACCGTAGCCACTTTTAAAATCTCCTGATATTGACAATCAGTAAAGAATGGGTTTTGGTGGCTCATCAGCAGGCATGTGTCCATAGGCTTTTTATAGTAAAATAAGTTCTCCTACTTGCAACTTTTCTCCATGTGACGTAATTTATCCGGAAAGCGAAGGGTGGACCTCCTGTTTTAACCCCTCGTGTATCGCCAAATTCAGTCTAATTAAATCTAATCTGATTATATTTCTTTCTTCAATCCAAATGGTAGAAGATGTAGAATTCTTCTTACCCTTTTATTTCAGCTTGAATATTTTTAGTTGAGAATCTCCTGCTGACGGTAGGCAGCTCAAGGCTTCGTCCCACAGAGTCACGGCTCTCAGCCGCTCCTGGCCCCCCCGCCCCCTGCTTTCCCTTCGTGAGCGGTTGAGGTCTGTGCTCATGAGGGACCAGTTTTGACCCCCTGGTTATTTATCACCCTGTCCTACCGCACAGAATTGGGAAGATAAAAGTGCAGCTCCTTGCTTTGAAGTACAACTGGGAAAGTCCCGGAAGTGGCCAGTTTTACGCCTCATCAGAATCTCCTACAGGCAGCGCAATTGGCCTCAGAGGCACCGTTTGGACCATCTCTTCTTACAGGTGGAGTGGAAAGAGGAGCCAGGCAGCTTCCTCAGGTAGGGAAAGAGCAACGGGAGCAGGGAGGAGGGAAGAGGCACAGATGGGACCACCCAGCCTCCCTCTGTGTTGAGTGGGAATGATGGGGATCTAAGAGAAGCTCTGTTGTCTTCTTCTTCTTCTTCTTCTTCTTCTTCTTCTTCTTCTTCTTCTTCCAGGTCCTATTGAACCTTGAGGAGGTGGTCGTGTTTTTCACAGAGGAGGAGTGGATCCCGGACACTTAGGTCCAGCACTGAGGGCCTTCTGGCGGTTCCCTCACTGCGAGAAGCCAAGTTACAGGGAACCAGGCAGAGGGCCTTCTCGGTAGTGGCACCCGCCCTGTGGAACGCCCTCCCACCAGATGTCAAAGAGAAAAATAACTACCAAACTTTTAGAAGACATCTGAAGGCAGCCCTGTTTAGGGAAGCTTCTAATGTTTAATAGGTTATTGTATTTTAGTGATTTGTTGCAAGCTGCCCAGAGTGGCTGAGGAAACCCAGCCAGATAGGTGGGGTATAAATAATAAATTATTATTATTATTATTATTATTATTATTATTATTATTATTATCCAGGCCAAAGAACTCTGCACAAGGAAGTCATGGAGGAGAATGATGAGATGGTGGCCTCTCTGGGTAAGGATGTATTTTTATTTATTTATTTTGCACATTTTTTACTCAATTTATTTTAATAAATCAATTAAATTTAAATACATTTGCATATTGACTAAACCTCAATATAGTTTCCATTATAAGATAATGAAAGATTTAAGGTAAGTTAAACTTTAATAAATAAGAACTAAAACAAGGTGATTTTTCCTCCTGTTTGCTCTTACATAGTTCATTATGTTTATTTTATTTACGCCGTTTGTATCCCATCCTTCGGCTAAAGATCTCCAGGTGGCTAAAAAGCAAAATTCAGAAAACTACCACATCCATATAAAAGATAATAAAATGCAGAAGCAAAACTACAACAAATTAATCGGTCTCTTTTATAGCAACAGTTAGAACTCTGCAAATCGTAAAGAAAACCTTGCCCCCACATTTCCAAACCCTCTTAGATACTTTACATTTTTTAAACGGCACAATTATTTCTTTTCTATAAATAAGGATGCATTTTTATCCCTCTTGACTGATACACGTTGAAGGTGTGAATCTCCTGTTTGAGCCATTTATTCATGCCATGAAGGAGCAACATAGGAATAGCCTGCTGGATTAGGCCAGTGGCCCATCTAGTCCGGCATCCTGTTCTCCCATTGGCAAAACCAGATGCCTCTGGGAAACCAGCAAGCAGGATTCGAACACAATAGCACTCTTGCCTCCTGTAGTTTCCAGTATTTAGGAACATTGCTGCTTCTGAGTGTGGAGGCATTGCAGAGCCATCACGGCGAGTGGCCGGCAATAGACTTCTCCTCCATGTATTTGGGACATCATTGCTCCCTGTGGGATCAAGTTCCCTAGTTAAACTATGTGCTGTGTGAAGGAGGCTGATCTTTTATTTGTGCTTTATATTCTTCTTCTTCTTCTTCTTCTTCTTCTTCTTCTTCTTCGAGTGGTACCTCGGGCTACAAACACTTTGGGTTACAAATGCTTCAGGTTACAAACTCCATTAACCCGGAAGTAGTACCTCGGGTTACGAACTTTGCCCCATAATGAGAACGTGCGCCGGCAGTGCAGGAGGTCCCATTAGCGAAAGCACACCTCAGGTTAAGAACGGTTCGGGTTAAGAACGGACCACCGAAACGAATTAGGTTCGTAACCCGAGGTACCACTGTATTTTCTGGGATTATTTCCTTTCCTAAAAATGTGCTACATAGGAGAGGGGAGATTGTTGGGGGTGTTGGAATAAGAGAAAGTGCTGATTGGTATTGTTGTGTGTTAAGTTCTCTTGTTCTCTTCCTTGAATACCTAACAATATTTTCTCTCCCCCTTCCCCACTTTAAACCAGGTGATGGAGAAGGCAATCAGAATTCTGAGGGGCCATCTGTGAAGAACTTCTGTGTGAGTGAACCCCTTAGCACACATCCACAAACTAACACAGAGAAGAAATCCTTTAAATGTATGGAGTGCGGAAAGAGCTTCAGTAAAAGTGGAAATCTTACTGCACATCAACGAATTCACACAGGGGAGAAACCATTTAGATGTATGGAGTGTGGGAAGTGCTTCAGTGAAAGCGGAAATCTTACTGCACATCAACGAACTCACACGGGTGAGAAACCATTTAAGTGTATGGAGTGTGGAAAGAGCTTCCGTGAAAATGGAAAACTTATTATACATCAACGAACTCATACAGGGGAAAAACCACTTAAATGTATGGAGTGTGGGCAGAGCTTCAGTCAGAATGGGACTCTTACAACACATCTACGAATTCACACAGGCGAGAAACCCTTTAAATGTATGGAGTGTGGGCAGAGCTTCAGTCGAAATAGAACTCTTACAACACATCTACGAATTCACACAGGGGAGAAACCCTTTAAATGTACAGAGTGTGGGCAGAGCTTCAGTCGGAAGGGACGCCTTACTCTACATCAACGAACTCATACAGGGGAGAAGCCATTTAGATGTATGGAGTGCGGGAAATGCTTCAGTGAAAGCGGAAATCTTACCGTACATCAACGAACTCACACGGGTGAGAAACCATTTATATGTATGGATTGTGGGAAGTGCTTCAGTCACAGTGGAGGTCTTATAAGACATCTACAAACTCACACAGGAGAAACCCTGTAAATATTTGGAGTGTGGAAAGAACTTCAATGAAAATGGAAAACTTACAATGCATCAACCATCTTACATAGGTGAGAAACCATTTAAATGAATGGAGTGTGGAAAGTGATTCAGTTATAACGGAGTTCTTAATAAACACCTACGGACTCTCACAGGGGAGAACCCAATTAGATGTATCGATTGTGCCAAGCGTTTCCCACAGAGCTCACTTTGTCCCTCATATCAACAGAAAGCAGAGACATCACCTTGCTGACAAAGGTCCATATAGTTAAAGCTATGATTTTCCCAGTAGTGATATATGGAAGTGAGAGCTGGACCATAAAGAAGGCTGATCGCTGAAGAACTGATGCTTTTGGATTATGGTGCTGGAGGAGACTCGAGAGTCCCATGGACTGCAAGAAGATCAAACCTCTCCATTCTGAAGGAAATCAGCTCTGAGTGCTCATTGGGAGGAGAGATCCTGAAGCTGAGGCTCCAATACTTTGGCCACCTCATGAGAAGACAAGACTCCCTGGAAAAGACCCTGATGTTGGGAAGGATGGAGGGCACAAGGAGAAGGGGACGACAGAGGACGAGATGGCTGGACAGTGTTTTCGAAGCTACCAGCATGAGTTTGACCAAACTGCGGGAGGCAGTGGAAGACAGGAGTGCTTGGCGTGCTCTGGTCCATGGGGTCCTGAAGAGTTGGACACGACTAAACGACTAAACAAGAACTACAACATATAGGGAAAAATCAATTGTAAATTTATGGAGTGTATTTGATGTTCTGGTGTTTGTATGGGAAGTTGTACATATATGTATTAAAACTATGAAGGTAATGTCTCATAATAGTATAATGAAAGAGATAATGTACTGTAAGGGATGTATAGACTATGACTGGAGTGCTCATTGTGAGTGAACATGTGCTGAGAGTTTGTTACTATTTGGTCTTTGGCAGACAGAGTTAGGAATGGAGAGTTGTGAAAAGTGGAACACGACAGTGGTGTTTAGGAAGCAGGATGGGCTCTAGAATCAGTACTGTACAGTAGTACCTCTGGTTATGTACTTAATTTGTTCCAGAGGTCCGTTCTTAACCTGAAACTGTTCTTAACCTGAGGCACCACTTTAGCTAATGGGGCTTCCCACTGCCGCCACACTGCTGGTGCATGATTTCTGTTCTCATCCGGAGGTAAAGTTCTTAACCCGAGGTACTTCTTCCGGGCTAGAGGAGTCTGTAACCCAAAGTGTTTGTAACCCGAGGTACCACTGTAAAGTAGAAAGGGACTCCAAGGGTCTGCTAGTCCAACTCCCTCTTGTAAGAACAGCAGCATTAAACCCATTTTTTATGATTGCAATAAGTGAACAAGTGAAAACACAGAAAGACTGAAACCATCGTCTTATGTGCACATGGTAATTTTTACCCGTCCTACATTGTTTATATTTTATAAATTCATTGATTTTACGATACCTTCTCATTCATGGCTACATTAACGACAAAGTGGATAAAATCCCTGGTGGCAGCCAGAATAAAGGAGGTGCTGAGGCGGACAACCAATATCTGTGCATTGCCAGTGGTTTCAGGAGAGCTATTTCCCTGTGGAGCGGCGAATCTCTGCCCCCATAACTGGCCCATTTGGCTATACATTTCGAATCATTGTATCCCATCCACAAATACCTCCGTGGTGATGATGGTGGTGGTGGCGGCATTAAAATAACCTGTTCTTCAATCAAGGGAGGAGACCAGATGGTGTCAAAGGTATCTTTTTTGGAGATACTTTTGATTAGACATTGAAGGTGAGGTGTTCTGATGGAGCAGGGGTGGCCAACTCCGAAGAGACTGTGATCTACTCACAGAGTAAAAAACTCGCAGGGCAAAGTTGTTGAGCCTTTTTTAGGGGAGCCAAACGTTTAGGGAGCTTCTTTGGTGGGGAGCCAGTGATCTACCAGTGATCTACCTGTTGGACATGCTTGTGAAAGTATTCCCTGCCCAAGCTGCTTCAGTGGTGCATTTTCTCCTGGAGACACCTAGGGGATTTTAACATCCATGCCGACCCGACCTTACAAGGGGCCACTTGGACTTGTGGAAAGCATGGCCTCCATGGGGCTGTCACTGAATAGGTTTGGCCCAACTCATAGTCACGGACATGCCTTAGACCTGGTGTTCACCTCTATTGACATGGGTGATCTGACACTAAGTAAAAGCGAAACTAAAGAAGTGCCATGGTCAGATCATTTCCTAGTGCAACTGGACTTCTCCTCAACCCTTCCCCTCTGCAGGGAGGTGGGACCAATTCGGATGCCCCCCCGCCACTTAATGGATTCAAATGGTTTCCAGAGAGTGGTAGGGGATGCTTTACCATTTTGAATCTGACCGGACGTGGGTTAGAGCTCAACATTGAGCCTACCAAGTGGCGATCGTAACGGTGAGGAGGACTTTCTTCACCGCCTCTATCGCATCTGCAGAAAATAGCAGCAGGAGACTCTTTCAGGTGGTTCGCAATTTAATGGAACCACTTTTGCCACTGGGGCCTGGTAAAGACCCCAAGATCTCCTACAATGATTTTGCAAAGTTTTTGCAGTTAAAGTTGCTCAGATTCAGAAGGATGTAGATTCCACCGTGGGAGCAGGGCTGGGGCAGGAGAGTGCTAGAATCCTGTCTAGTTGAGTTTCATGGAATCCCTGTTACCTCCAAGGATGTGGACAAGTGAAGCCAACCACCTGTCTCCTTGATTCTTGCCCATCCTGGCTAATAAAAGCTAGCTGGGAAGGGCTGGGTGATGGGCTCTGCGGAGTGGTGAATGCTTCCCTCTGTGAGGGAGCCTTCTCAGACCCGCTGAATGAGGCAGTCATTAAACCGCTTCTTAAAGAAACATCTTTAGGCCCAGCTAATATGGCCAACTATCGTCCAGTCTCAAATCTTCCATTCTTGGGCAAGGTGATTGAGCATGTGGGTTGCTGAACAACTCCAAGCACGCCTGGAAGATGCAGACCATTTGGATACCGTCCAGTCGGGATTCAGGCCACATCATGGGACTGAAACTGCCTTGGTCATGCTGGTTGATGGTCTCTGGTGCGCTAGGGACAAAGGTGAGAGCTGTTTCCTAGTTCTGCTGGATCTCTCAGCAGCTTTTGATACCATCGACCATAACATCCTTCTGGACCATCTAGAGCAAGGCTTCCTCAAACTCAGCCCTCCAGAGGTCTTGAGACTATAATTCCCATCATCCCTGACCACTGGTCCTGCTAGCTAGGGATCATGGGAGCTGTAGGCCAAAAAATCTGGAGGGCTGATTTTGAGGAATCCTGGTCTAGAGGAGCTGGGGGCACTGTTATACAGTGGTTCCGCTCCTTCTTCCTGGGCCGTGTCCCGAAAGTGCTGTTGGGGGAGCCTCAAGGTTGCATCCTCTCCCCCATGCTTTTTAACATCTACATGAAGCCGCTGCGAGAGATCACCAAGGGGTTTAGGCTGGGTGTTCATCAGTATGCGGATGATACCCAGCTCTACCTCCCTATCAGATTGGAACCAATCTGAGACCTTCTGCATTCAAAGCAAATGCTCTACCACTGAGTGTCAGTATATGGAAACATCACAGCTGCAGACACTCAGATTGTTGACATCACATGATGTGCCTCTCTGTGGGAAAGAAGAATTTCCCAGGACGTTCACAGGCTGGATAAGTCTTTGTGAAGAGTGTAATTTGAAACCTTCCGACTACGCATGTTCAGGAAGTTTGTCAGACGTGCTAGAAGAACTGAACTGAAAGGACGTGTTTTTCTAGTGCTGTAATGTCAGAAATAAACATCATGTAAATAGATTTCTGACTTATTTTCTTTCCCCTGCGGAAGCAGGAGGGAGGGGTTGTGCATTTTACCCACGCTTGGGAAAATGTCGCCTATCAAAATCTCCCTGGTCTGTCTGAGATATCAGCCAGAGGAGGTTACCAGTAAGCAAGCTCCGAGGACAGTGAGAGGGGCCAGCCTCTATGGAGGGGGCTTGCAAACCAACAAGTGGTAGCAGAGGATGGTTTCGATCCATCAACCTCTGCGATGCTGATTTATGGCTGGATGGTGAACACGAATTGAAAAGTCTTCGGTTCCCTGAGAAAAAAGCTCCTGTTTTGGATAAAACAGAGCGGAGAGAAGCCACATACTTCGCATTCCAGAGCTGATAAGAAGTTCCGTTGCTAAGCAACAGGTCGTGAGTACTTTTTGAGCTAAATTTATGGGCTGGTTAGCTTAAAGAGCATAGAGAGAATAGAAGCTTCAGAAACAAAAGCAAGGCTGGGTGTTTTTCAGCGACGCTTGTTGTAAACAAACTGTTGGAAAAGGGACTTTCCAAGCAAAGAGCTGTTGGATTGCAGCGAAGGCTTATTGTTTACAGATTCTCGGGAAGGGAAAATTCCAGACAGCTGGGCTGACTGCCAAGTGCAAGCAGCTAGTAAACAGGATATAGACTCTTGGATTTTCCAGCTTATAGCTGCAGCTGCAGCTTGGATTAAAGATGGCTCTGTTCTCTCAAAAACTGAATAGCCAAAACTGGCTAGAATGGTCATTTGCAATGGAATTCTTGCTGGTGGGAGAGCAATTATGGGACTTAGTACAAACCCCACAGCCTGTTGCTGTACAAGCACAGGGGAAGAAGGCTGCAATTCAAAATGAATTGAAGCAGCGTGTCCTGAGAATTTTGGCAGAAAATGTGGACGCTTATCTTGAGCCAGTCCTAAAGGGTGCACAAGAACCAAGGGTCGCTTGGGAGTCACCCCGCAAAGCTTGTGAAGCTGGGGTGGGAAGCAAGGACCGAGAATTGGTTGCACCAAAGGGGGAGAGCCAAGATGAAGCTAGCCAAATTCTTGAGAGCTCATTGAAAGCTGGGAGGAGCTTTGAGCCACAACAGGGAAGTGAAGGGACTTTTGCTGCAATGGCTGTTGCTGATGGGGGGAGTGAAGCTCAGAAATCAAGCACCCCCACTACAATTGCTACGGAGGAGAAAGCTGTAGCTCTGAACGCTGTTCGTCAGGAGACCC